CCACAGTTACTCGAGATCCTGTACTTAAGCCGAGAGGATCATCAGGGACACCCTTAGCAAGCACACCGATTGGGAGAGGACGATACCAGCAGGAGTTCTTCACTTGCACTTCCACGACTGTTTCGTTGACAGGAGAGCTTTGCAAGATTTAAATTCTGGTCTGCTAACTTTGCTGTTCTTCAGGGCTGTGATGGATCGGTTCTTCTTGACTCAACTCCCACCGATGGAAGTAAAGTGTAAAAATTGTCCCTTCCAAGCTTCATGTCCACCAAGAGCTATCCCTGCGCTCACACTCTAGCCATAGCTGCCAGAGATTCAACCGTCATGGTAAGTTTAGCATCTTTTTAGAAACACTGGATCAAATTCTAAGATGGAGAGGAAAGAATTACCAAGTCCCAACTGGACGTTACAACAGAAGAGTTCCCATCCAGGAACGCGGCAACACCTTACAATCTCCGTTTGAGAATGTGTCAGTTCTCATTAAACAAACACTGGTTATTTTGATCGGCTCCAAAACTGTAAAACAGCTGTAAATCACAAAATCTTAGGATTGTACTCCACACAGACCACTGCAAGAACACAGCACTCATATATTCTCTGCCTTTCAATTCTTTAACGATAGAAAACTGCAACAGAACGACATTGCATTAGTTTTAAAAAGAAAGAAGAAAATTTATTACAAATTCACCGTACCTGGCTTCAAATTTCATTACACAAGATCTGGAAAGAACTGCAGGATCTTGCTCGATAAATTTAGTTTCCTTCATAAACCTAAACTTTCCAAAGCTACGAATCTAGAATTCAAGAGGCACCACCGTTTTTGCCACCATGTAACAATCTTCACCGTTCTTTTGGAGCGTCACAGATTTAGTCCATCCGATTGGGAGCATCCACCATAAGTAAAAATGGATAAAAATGGAATATGTGATGCCGATGCCAAAATAGCAACTTTAAATAAAGAGTTTGATGACTAGCAAAAGTCCCAGCTACGCTGGGAGCATTGTCTTTATTTTTTATATTTTAATAATTTCAAAGAGTTGTAAGCGTAATTGTAATTTTTAAAATAATCATAATTATAAGATATATAGTTAAACATAACATAATCTTTATATTAAAAATCTCTTCTACAGTTGTTTCTATCACCAACACACATCATAACATAATATATATAACTCAGTACATTATATCATATATAAAATTCTGATTCTTGAGTGAAGTCTTGGATATTCAATAAATAGAATTTCTCACTGTGGGATACCATGGCCAGATGAGTCATTCTTTTAATAACTAATTTTTTTATTAGAAATATATAAATATATTTGATAAAAATAATATTATTTGATGATTTATTAAACTCTATATTTTTCTTCTTAATACAATATGTGTTACTTAACTATACTCAAATATAATGATGTTAAAAATATATTTAATATATATTTAAAAACTCACCTAAAGTGCATACATCTCTTAAATTTAAAAAATATAAACATTGTTATGGAGTTTCTCTTTTCATCATTTCAGACTGAATGTTTTGGAATTTCATGATAATAAGTGAAATATTTTAGATTTATGTGTTATATTTTCTTTTATAAAATTATAATATTTTACATATTTATCATTGATATTCCCTTTTTACCTAATATTTATATTCATGCATTTTGAGAGTAATATTTAAAATAGAAAGTATTCCATTATATATCATAAACATTATTTCTGTAGTTATTTTTATAAATCTGAAATAAGATTATTATCTCCCTATATTCATGTATTTATATTTATAATTAAGGCTTTATAACACTGTTATGAATGCTGAAATTTTATGATGATAAATGAATGGTAATGTTTTACTCTATACTGGGGTAGAGTAGGGTTTGATGATATATAATCTTTTCTTTATGGTAGAACTATAATATATCAGAAAATTCATGAATGGTATATAGAAGGTTCAATATAATATATTTAAATATCTTTATATGGTCCATGTACTAATTTTGTCTCAATCATATTTATACCTTATTATGTTTTTCATGTATAAATATGATGTAGATTAAAGTGGTAGAAAATTTATGATATTATATAAATCTTAGACTACATCTTAGCCAATTGACATCTCAATAAGTTTAATTCCATTTATATTTATACTAATAAATAATATAAGATTACTAATAAGAAAATATTTTACACAAGTATCTAGGACTATTAACTACTCTATTTTAAGTTATAAATTATCATTTTCTATAGAAACTATTTTATTTATATTCTAATTCAGATCTTTTATTTTTTCTTTTATTATATTTAGTATTTTTAAAATTTATTTAAACTAATTTTCTAAAATTATATTATATTTTTATTTTAGAATTTTTTCCATATTTGTATACGATATCCTCTCCCTTCATAATATTTACATTTATACTTTTTAGAAGTACTATAAAAGAATTAAAGTATTATATTTTATATAAGTAATATTCTTTCTGTATATGTTTTTATATAGAGAGAATGCTAAAATTAATTACTATTGTTACCTTTATGTTTTATTTTTTCTTATATAAATTTACATTAAGGCTAAAATCTTTCAATGAAAGGTAAGTTTTTATCCTGATATTATGGTATTGATGATTCATAATATTGTTTTTTCCTAAAACCATAACATATCAGAAAATGAAAAAGTGGTCCATAGATTTCTTTATTAATAATAAAATTTTAAGTGATGATGAATCACATTTTTTAAGATGGTAGCCTTTTGTATTGTGTCTAATGTTGTCTCAATGATATTTTATTTATCTATTTTGCATGTATTAATGCACAAATTATTAGTGTAAATAACAGACTTATTACATATTCATCAATGAATCTCTTCATATTGAGTTGTCTGTTAGCTCAGATATAGTCTCATATTTGTGCAATATCATAAAAGTTATAAAAGTGTAACTTATTTACAAGATATAATAGCTGAAGCTATTCAACTCTTCTATTTTAAGTTATAAAATATATCATTTCTATCACTACTTTATCTACTTTTAACTTTATAGTATATCTTTTACTGTGTGTACTATATACCATCTTTGTAAAAAAATTTATGTTTAATTTTAATAATGTAGTATTGAATTAATCAGATACTCTTTGTTCTATATAGTTTTTGTTCTATAGAAGAAAGAGTATTTCATTGATTTGATACTATATTTTAAAACATATTGAACATATTTTTTGTTTTAAAAATATCGTATATAGTAGACATAATAAAAAAAATCATCAATGAATACCACCTTTGTACAACTAAATGTTTAAAGTCATTTGAACCTAGTGCATTATATCATCTTGGATCAGTTGTCCAATTCCTTTTTATATGTATTACAATATCACTTATGCCTCCTTGAATATTTGTTGAATTTAACACTTCATTCTCTATTTCTTACCATTTTTTTAATGCATTAGCATGGGGATTTATCTCTTTTAATAATTTGTCAAGACCACCCATTATTTGCTTATTGCATTTATAATTGTGTTTGTTTTTTAATTTTATTTCCGTTGCTTGAGCAGTATCTAAAATATTTCATTGTGAATAAGCTGCATATTTTTCATTATTTGGTTTGAAACTTCCAATATTATATTAAATTTATATATATAGATTAAAATAATTAGGGCCACCTACTGCAATGATCAATGAGGCTCTTTCGTTTAAATATATTGGATGATTAGTGAAAGGTCTCAATTCAACTTTGGTCTTTATTTATATATCAATAAATGTTTTACAATTCTTTCTTTACATTTCAACTCCCTCATTTTCCTTTTCGTTCCAACTTGTTTTCATTCCACAGTTGTTCTCGGCAGCCACCAAAAATGTTTTCCAGCCATAGACATAAGAGATGTTGATGTCCGGAGAATACAAAAAAGAAAAATGCAAGCAAATGAAGTCAGTAATGGTGAAAAGGAAATAGGAACTTACTGCTGGCATTTTCTTTTAAGCCGCTCGAACTTTCTTCATGTCAAGGCCGGGAGCACTCCTTTTCACACCACTCCTCAAGCAGCTTATACTTCTAGCTGAAGAGGACATCGAGATGCAAACAGTGATCAGTTTGATCTTTTATTTGTTGGATGTCTGAGGTTTTTGCATTGCAGTAATTACTTACATAGACATTATTTTCAAAGTAATAATGATAATCAAAATGTGTTTGCTAACTGAGGCAGCATATGCTGGGCAATTACTAGTGATTACTATTTTTATACGTGGCACTATTTTATTAACTTATTCTACCAGGTTCCAAGCATGAGGAGAAATTTTCAAGGGGGACACGGGGTTCCCCCCTTCCCCCAATTCCATTGCTATGTCACTGGTAAGGTGCATGGAACAAGGGGTTAAAAATTTTCCCCTCTAAAAAACTTCCCCAAGGGGGTCATTGGGGTGGAGAAATTTTCAAGTGGGGGATGCATGGAACCCTTCCAAAAACTCACACACTCACATTGTGGCAAAGTAGTAGACACCAGGTTCCCCCTTTCCCCTCATTTTGGTTGCCATGTCACCAAGGGGGGGCATGGAACCCAAGGTGAAATTTCTCCCCCTGAAAAATTTCCACCACGAGGTGAAAAATTTCTCCCGCCAAGATCTGGCCCTTCTTTCCTCTAAGTGCCACATCACTTTCCACGTCACTTGCTTCGCTGGGCCGCTACACCGTACACTGCTTGTTCAACATAGTTCTAGGGTGGTGTAGCGGCCAATAACAAGCCCGTATAACAAAGTGAGGCAGAACACGTGGAGGGATGACTCGGCAAGGAGATCTGACGTGGTGGGGAAGGGTTTGTTACAGAGGATCAGGCGGCAGATCAGCGGGGGACTTCTTGGGATGCAGCAGGGCAGCGATAAAGGACATGGTGGGAGCTAGGGCTAGAGGGAGGATTGGCTTGGGAATGGCGTGATGAGCAAGGGCGATCAAGATCTGAGCACAGTAAAGGCTTTGACCTAGTGTGGACTCCAGTAAGCCTCGCCCGGGCTTACTGGACCTAGAATGGTATTAGGCATAGGGAAGAAGAAGGGTATCCCAGTGGGATTAGTGTACAACATTGCGCTCCACGATGTGAAGCCATGGCCGTCTGTAACACTTCCCCCTATGGTAATGATCCAGTGGCAGAGAGGTGAGAAACGAACAGGGCACACCAAGTGCGTTAGTGGAGACAAGGACAAGATCATACTGAACGACTCGCTTACAATCCCCGCTACACTGTACAAGTTTCCGGAGAAAAAGCATGAGAGCCCTAGATTCCAAAAGAAATGCATTGTCTTTAGCTTATGTGAAGCTGCGGAACAAGGGATCCCGCGAGGGCAGCCGCTGGGCAGGGCGGTGCTGGACCTTGCAGACTACGGAAATCTCAACGACCAGAATAGAAACGCAATTTCAAGCATCCCAGTGGCCGTGGCAAGGAAAGAGTTTAGTTCACTGGGCACCCCCCGTCTCTCCTTTACAATTGCTCCACAAGGCATCACAAGCAGCAGCAGCGTTCCTCCTGTACCAGTGAGAGAGGACAAAGAGGAATATTCATCCCTCATTGCATCCTTGGTTAGTGACGAGGAGGACGACATCACTGCTTTCATGGACGAAGACGAAGATGAGGTTGAAGACGCGGAAGAAGGAAGTTCCCAGTTGAGTTCCAGATCTGTTCCTCTCAGTCCCGCTACCGTTCCCCCAGATCCAGAAGCCATGCCGTCGAGCACCAGGAATGACAGGGTTCAACGCATTCTTAACTCAGCCGGAGCATCCTCTTCGTTTTCTTCATCTTCTTCCTCTTCATTTGTTGCTGCAGCTGTTGCTGCATCAGCCTATGCGTCTCAAAGGAAACCCAGTTTTAACTCTGCATCACCTAGAAGGAACAACGATGTTGAACAGAAAAGTAAGCTCCTAAAAACAAAGGCCAGTGGTGCTAGCAACGTAATACAAGCCGCAAGGATTAAGTACGCAGAAGGTGCGGGCGAGAGAAGTGAGAGGTTGGATAAAAAGGCAGTGGAAGAAGCAAGGCAGAGAGCGGATGCTGCTGAAGCTAAGGCTGTTGCAGTTCAACACGAAGCAAAGCAGCTGATGGATGAGGTGGGAAATCTTAAATGGGAGCTGCAGGAAGCTGCTGCCCTGGAGCTGGCTTTGTATTCTGCTGTCGCCCAGCACGGCAGCTCGTCGCACAAGATTCATGCCCCAGCACGCCGTCTTGCAAGGATATACATCCATGCCTGCAACAAGTCTAGCCAACGTACAAGGGCCAGCACTGCCAGGACCTGTGCTTCAGGTCTTGTGGTTGTTGTGCGGGCTTGCGAGAATGACGTCTCAAGGTTTTCAAAGAGATAGCTCGTGCATATTCTATATTAAACGTCTGTCTGTTTCTTCCCAGGTTGACGTTCTGGTGGTCTAACGTGGCTGTTCTGAGGGAGATGATTTCGCATGCGTTTGACACTGCACCACCGTCATTACCTGAGACTGCCTCAGACAGTGCTTTCCATGACTGGCATGAGAAATCGACTCTAGCTTCTATGCTGGAAAGGATTGAGGCATGGATTTTTGGAAGGATCGTCGAATGCATCTGGTGGCAGGTTGGTCAATATGTGGTACATAATCCGTCGATCTAGCTAATGTAGCTGCATGCAGTCGTTGACTCCCCACATGCAGTCATCAGCGGTAGACCAGTCGAGCCTGCTTTCTACTCCGCGTTCTGTTGTTTCACGACTAAAAAAAAGCGTGCGGGGTTTTGTGGTTACGCCTTTTGAAGATTCGCATCAAGGGATGCTATCCATTGAAATATGGAAGGCAGCATTTCTAGACGCATTGCAAAGGATTTGTCCTGTTCGAGCAGGTGGCCACGACTGCGGGTGTTTACAGGTTGTAGAAAGAATGGTAAGACCCCCTTCCCTCTTCACTGATTTGACAATTGTTCAATGCAGATTGTTGAGCAGTGCGTTGCACGGTTGGATGTTGCAATGTTCAATGCCATATTGAGGGATATGGAAGAAAACGTTCCCACAGATCCCATCTCTGATCCCATTACAGACCTCAGTGTTCTTCCTATACCACCTGATGGTATCAGCTTCGGAGGAGGTGCTCAGCTGAAGAATGTGGTGCGGTCATGTTAGGGGTTTCGTGGCAATTCATGTGATTGCGAGCTAAGAATTGCATTGCAGATAAATACATGGTCTACATGGCTTTTGGCGCTGACTGCTCACGTTGGTGAAGAGGCAGCTGCTGCAGCAAACATACAGAAAGGAACATCTCACTTTACAATGTTGCGGGCCATGAGCGACCTGTTGATGCTACCGAAGGACATGCTAATGGAAAAATCAATAAGAAAGGAGGTAGCCCTTAAATTTCTATAAGTGCTTCGATTAACAATGTACCATAGGTCTGCCCTGCATTAAGCTTGCTTTTGATCAGAAGGGTTCTTTCTAAGTTCGCTCCAGACGAGTATGCACCTGATCCGATTCCACCTTCCCTTCTGGCAGCTCTCAATGCCGAGGTAGGGGAAATTGCTAAGCTTTGGAGGTTCACTTTTCGTTTTTTTCATGCATGACCAAAGATCTCTATGGAGAGGCAAAGAGTTGGCGAATCGGACATCAGCCCCGGGACAATAATCATGGCATCAGCTCCTCCGGTTGTATACTTCCCACCATCTTCTGCATGCATGGGTGACATTGTCGATATGAAAATGATGGCCTCTCCCACACAGACCAGGAGCGCGTCCCTGTTTCGCAAGGGACATACAAGTGACGAGGAACTCGAGGAACTTGAATCACCTCTCTTTTTGTTGGTCGAGAATGGTTGTATTGACGGGAAGGAGGCTGCTTACTTGTCAGCCAAAGATGCATTTGCCCAAAGATACCGTTTATTGCGTAACGTTTGGAACCGAACAGAGTCATAAATTTCATTGATTTAGTAAACTGCATCGAAACCTGGTTCCAAGGTGAGAATGAATGGATTCGCTATCTTGGGGCAATCCGGGATCCATTGCCATGTGTCATGACTGATATTGTATAATAGTCCTATGTCGCAGAAAAATCTGCTGATGAATATCTGGTCTCCAAGGGCGCTGCAAAAGAAGCACTCCGACTGCGTCCGAAAAAATTGTTCGGAAAGTGGCTGGGGCATTTTTGCCAGCTCCTTCCACTTCATTGTGGGCGGGTCCAGGTGCCATATATAAAGTCCGAGGACCTGCCTTCTTAACGCCTTTCCGACAATAATGATTCTTCCATTGCACTCGACCAGATGCCGAAACTTAGAGTATCCTGGCATTCTGCCTGTTCGAACTTTAATCCAGATTTCCTGCTGCAAGCTGTACGCTAGCAAGCCATTCCCAGGTCCTCGGCTTAAGCAAAATAAATAACCATTGCAGGCGACTATGTTTTTTGTAATCTCCTCTTCTCGTGGAAGAGGGCCAGATTGTTTCCATGTCGAGGTAACAGAGTCATAAACCTCCGTGGTCCGCCTATTATCAAAGGAATTATAGTCTCCCGCAACAATAACTTTGTAAGCACTTAGCTTCCTGTCAGTGACCAGGGCTACCACAAAAGGGTACCTACGCGTTGTCATAGGTGGTAGTGCCTTCCAGCACCTGGTCAATGGATTGCAAACGAGTAGAACGCTATATCCATCAGTATACTGAGTAGCTATAAAACACATAAGTCCTTTGGAAGAAGCTGCAGGAACGCTGACTTGAGAGGGCAGAAAACCAATCGGGATATTCAACCACTTGTTCCCAGAGGGGTAGTATGCAGCTACCATTCTACATCGGCACCTGGCAACTTTTAGGAAGAACAAACCCCTCGGTGGCACGTCGGCACACATTTCCATGAAGCCTTTCGAATACATGATTGACCGCCATCGCCTGGAAACGGACCGTAAGCGGAAGAAAGAAGGTATGGGGAGCCAAGCAAGGACCCTCTCGACTAGATCATCTGGAAGGTTTCCCCAAAGCCTCCAATCCATATAAGGTGGTAGGCTTCCCCATCTCCGTGGCATAGCGATCGGCTGCGGTAATCCTGAAGAAGACGAGCAGCATACCATACTGTTCTTTCTTGCATTGCTGCTGCTGGCATTTGTTGTGCTGGCCATTGACGCACTGGCCACAATTTTTGCTCAAAAGTGAGGAAAGGTGATGCCATCTTGGACGGGGGTTGTGTCCCTTGGTCCCTTGACACCATTCGGCTAATTGCCCTAAATTGAGCTTATTAAAAAGATCTTTGAGATTGTATAGTCAGCACAGGAAGGTTTCTATGCCGCCATATCTACGATCCTGACCACAGATGAGTCACCAATCTTTTGGCATACAACCACACGATCGTTAGCCTTGATGCACCCAGCCATTTTTCCATGCTCAATAGCCATTTTCAAGACGAGCTCATTCGCAGCATTGCTTGTACTTACCTGCAAACGAGCTGGCCTAAACACAATATCAGGAAAAAGTTCTTACCTGAGGATCCGCAAGTATCGGAAATAATCCGCGGACAATCAGGCATTGTCTTGCCTACAGAAAATGTAAAAGAGTGAACGAGGGACACACACACAGTTTGAGGATACACACATACCAGCATGATCTTACTGTTTAGAACTGCTTCTTGTGTTGCAGTAGGAGGAGTTGTCTGTAAATTTGATTGACGTCAGATATGCTCGTTTTCAGAACAACTGTACCGTAAACGTCCCACTGAAACTAAATCGCATAAAATTGGTGCTGATTTGTGGAATGACAACCACCATAACAGGCATCAGAGGTCGATATTTAGCTATCAACCTGCATTAGCCGCATTAGAAATTACAAAGGGGAATCAGTTAAACGTATGCCTTGCAGCTTGGCCTGCAGATGTAAATACAATTATCATTGACGCACCGACCTTAGTTGCTGATCGTACCTGGTACTTGTTAACGTTATATCGCTTCTTAAAGTACTTAAAGTTACTTACTGCTGCGGAAGCAATAGATTCAAGATGTCCCATTGGTTCACCAACATATTCAAGGACTTTCTTGAAATAAAACCTTTGATTGTACACAATTTCCGCCTACATGAAAATGATCCTAGTCTCGTGATTATTATTTAGAAGTAGAACTTGCCTCCCTGCAGATTCGGCGAACTGTTCCAATGCACTGGATAGGGAAATTTCCCCTGTATGTCTCCGCTCCTAGCAAAATAGCGTCGCTTCCTAGAATGGACAGGATAGCTGAGACATCAACGACCCGACTTCTTTTACCATCAAGAACAGCATTAGCAACATCTGTAGCCTCCGCACGCGTCGGCCTGGGGTTTTCAGTCATTGTATCAACAACACGCGTAATTACTGCTGGCTTTCCAAGCATATTACATTTGTATAAAGCAGCTTTTTGGAAGAGAAACACCTGTAAAACAGTATGTGTCAATAACAATTTGAGAATTACTGTACCTTTTCGGACGGAAGATCAATTCCAAGGTTCCCGCGAGAAAGGATAATCCCATCCGCTTCCTTGAGTATATCATCAAAGTGCTTAAGACCCTACAACATTATTAAGTTTCAAATTTAGTCTTAACTTCAGAGAATCTGACCTGAGCAAACCTCGGCATTTTCAATCTTCGCAAAAATTTGTGTCTTGGTAAGCTCTAGTGATGTAAGAAGTGCCCGAGCCTGCAAACGAGGGTTGAAAGGTTTCATGGGTGACACTCATATACCTGTTTCACGTCTTCTGCATGTCGGCAATACGACAAAGACAGGAAGTCAATCCTATTTGCTTTACCCCACGAAGCAATGACCTGAACAGCAAATCTCAATCTCACTGGCAAAATGAAGACGCACACACCTTCTTGTCATTTTCACTTAGTGTTGGTAAATCAATGCGCACTGAAGAAGCCAGTGCGGTGAAAAGTGGCCCGGCTAAGGTAGCAGCGTTTTTAGCTCGACACACGATTTCATTGCCCTTCACTTCATTCACCTGAAAATTTGATGTAGAAATAGTTTCGAGGAGAAATGAGTCTGACCTCAAGCCATATTGAGGTGCTTTCACTTCCTGTAAAAAGGTATTGCCCAACAAAGATTGTGTCTTTTGGTTTCACTACCTGCACAAGTTATTTGTGTGAGGGCGACCATGAAAAATAAAGCTAAAATAAGCTTACGTTAGCAAGGTTTTGAAAGTTTATTGGCAGGTACTTCGAAGACGCTTCTTTACTTTGATCTGGTGTCAAGGTGACAAAGGCATCTACATCAATAGCAATTGGAGTTTCACTCTTGTTTATAATCTGGAGCTCTGGCCCAAGTGTATCCATCATAACCTGTTCAACTCTCGAGGGCATTAAAACTAATCAGCTACCTGGAAACAGAAACGTACACCACAAAGGGTTCGGGTATTGCGAACAGCCTGCTTCAAGAATTCCATTGTTTCTTGATGATATTCCGGTGTTCCATATGAAAAATCAATTCGCGCGACTGCAAACAATTCACCGGAGGCAATGATGGTTCTTTCAAACTACCTGTCATTCCGGCTTTCAGCATGCCCTCAATTGTCTCCACTGCACGCGACTTTGGCCCGAGTGTCCCAATAATCTTTGACATTGAGAGATAATTTCCATGTCCAACCTGTAACAGAAATGGAACTGAGCTGAAAAGAATCTAAAATATTCTAGGCACCTGCTCTGAGGGATCAAGGATTTTTGCCAAGCGTAGGGGTTCCTGCAGAACAACTCGAGTTGCCTGCATCTTTATGTGTACAGTCTCTTCCCTAAAATCATACACGGGTTATGGCCGTCTGCATCCCATCGTAGAAGATGCTTTGTATCCGATGGGAAATCCTAGTCAGCATGACATGTCTTGAGGGACGACGTGTCTTCCTGTTTTTCTGTTTGCCAACATAGCATAGCCATGGTTCTTTGTCGATCCATGGGAGCGGATGAAGCTCTAGCAAACGACTTACGACTTTTGGAAAGAGACGCTTTTGATATTGACCAGTACATCCGATCGAAGTGTCCACTTATGAGTGAAAAGGTTTTCAGTAGTCTAATTAAAAATATTCCAATGCCAAGTTCGTGTTTTGTGTGAAGGGAGTGAAAAAGCTGCGGCAAGAACTCATTGATCTAAAAATTACATGTACAGAATTTTCGAGAAGTAATGTACATAGAGATTATACTTACTTCATAAGGTTACTAAATGCCTTGATTTACCTTGACTTCTTTAATATTTGGGTCGTACAGAGCGACTCGGGACATATCATGGCTGGAGACATCACTTTTTAGGGTGCGAAATCTACTTTCTAATCAAGCCGCGATAATTCATTGTTTGTTGCAACAACCTCAAAAATCAGCTGAGTTATGCGCACAAGATGTGAGCAATCCGCAGTTTCTCCAGGAAGAAGAAGGTACTAAATCTTCAAAGTGGGGACAACAGTTTCCAGAGTTGCTGGACAATCTCCAAATTTTACTTGCTGAGAAGAAAACACATAAAGCTTTAGATGAGCTAGAGAAAGGGAGAGTGTTTTTTGATGAAAATGCACCCCAGAAATCGGAAGCTGCCGTAATTGCATTGAACTTGAAATCAATGAAAGAACGACTAGCAGAAGAACTAGCTAACTCGACTATGAAGGCTTCTGTTTGTGGCGTTGAGCTACGTGATACATGCTCAGTTCTTCAGAAACTTGGTGAAGGCTCAAGAGCTCATGACTTGCTGCTTGTGTCTCATCGAAATAGGCTACTGTACAATATCAAAGGTTTATGCAGAAGCAAGAGTTCATATGGCGGTGCCTACACCGCAGCTCTTTCTCAGCTTGCATTTTCTGCTATTTCCTTGGCTTTAAAGGATTCCGCTGCTGTGTTTAATGGAAACTTCAGTTGCGGATCAGAGCTTGTTTTATGGGCACGAGATATAACCCAGGAATTTGTTACTTTACTAAAGAAGTATGTGCTCTCATCTCTAGCAGCGGCAGGGGGACTAAGAGCAGCTGCCGAATGCGTGCATATGGCTCTGGGACACTGTTTTCTCCTTGAAACCCAGGGACTTGCAATCTGTCCTTACCTTTCGAGTCTTCTCAAGCCATCTGTAGAGGAAGCAGTTTCAGCCAATGTTGTACGAATTGGGGACAACGTCATTGCATTAGCTGCAGCAGATGACTGGAACCTTATCCAGCCCCTCCATGATCAGAGAATGGGTGGGAGAGCATCTTATCGCACTGCAGAGGGTATTTATGTACGCTTGTCAAGCAGTGCACACACGTTCAACATTTTGATCGAGGTATGGAAATTTAGCCAACAAAGATTGTGGTGATTGGAAGTCTAGTTACAGGACTTTCTGCATGGTGTCAAACCTTTGACAAGATTTCAGCTGGCCCACTCGGCCCTTGAAGCTTTGTGTAAGATCTATGAGCGCTATGTGGATCTCCTTATAGACGCTTTGCTGCCTGACGGCCAGATCTTGCAGAAAGGAAACATAAAACTAGCAAAAACAATGTCACAAAAACTTGTTGTCTTGGGCAATGCAACAGCTTTATCTGAGGATATACTCCCCAAGGTTTCTCGCTCACTACTTCAATGTCAGGAGAGTTTCAACAGTTCCATTGATGATGAGCAGCAAAAAGAGTGGAAGTTATACCTGCAGCACACGTGTGAGAAGTTGAAGTCTACTATATGCAACATTCTTATAAAGGATATTCTGTACGATAAAGATCGAGAACTTCTGACTCCCGATCTTTATTCTGAAGCCGCAGACCCAGAATGGCAACAAAACCCATTTCCATCGTCACCTTTCGAGGTATGCTAGCTCTTCTTATCATTTTCTAACATGCTTTAATCAGCAACTCCTCTTTAAAGTCGTCGCCTTAGCTAAAGCAGGGGAAGATGTTTTTCGGGGACAAGAACATGTCTGTCTTCTATTGATTACAGATATTTTGACCAGTGTGGTAACTGCGATCCAGCACAACAAATCTTTCTGGAGCCAAGTTGAAGAAGGTCCAAAAACATTTAGTTCAATAGGACTTAGAAAGGTAATTTTGGTCACTTCTTCCACTTACATAATTTGTTTCTCCTCTGTAGTTCGTGTTAGACATGCAATTCGTGATTGAGATCGCCACTGAAAGAAGCTGCACTTCAGATGTCATGTATAAGGTGGTTGCTGGCAACATCGCCCTAGCAAGTAATGCATTCGCATTGAATGGTCAAGATCCAATGAGGTTTCTAAATTGATGTCTCTCTAGGAAATTTGCTCATTTCTTTTTGTCTAGTGTTCTTCCCGATGACAAATGGTTTCTCGAAGCATCACTTGCAGCTTATAAGAGGATTGTTAAGGCATAGCCATTTTAGGTTGTGCTTATGGAGACCGAAAGACTGGAGCGCGAACTAAACGAGGCTTTCACCAATGCGATGGGTGAATTAGAGATGCATATCTTCTTCAACATACAGGTTTAATTTACAGCGAACATTGGTGTCTTGTCTTATCCTTTCCTACAGAAAGGTTTCTATAAGTGCGCAGCCAATTGCTTTGATACATTCAAGACAGTGACCAACATTCAGGCATGTATTGAAGATTGTTCTATTCCAGCACAAACAGCACAAAATGTGATCAGAAGTGAAGTCGCCAGGTTTCAGGTAACTGTTTGAGTGCGTAATGTGTAATATCCTGTTGCTATTACAGTCTGTAGGAAAGAATCAATAAAAGCATAATCCACTGCAAAGAAAAGTTCGAGGAGGAGCGTGATAGCCATCGTAATACAGAAAATCAAATTGCTGAAAAAGCACAGCACTGCATTGAAAGCGCAGTGCGGGAGCACATAATTCGAATTCCAAGTTTGACTGCAACGATCAAATCTCAGATAGCCAAAAAGTAGATGTCGATTTTCGTATTGTTTTAAAGAAATCCTCTGGCAATGAAGTTCATGTTTGAAAGAAAGGCAGGAAACAGGTTGGAAGCACATCGTAGCCAGCTGCAGTTGGAAAAGGTAGTCGTGATTGACTTTTATATGACTGTTAGCTTAAAAGAAGGTTAATGACTGGACTTTCAATCTAATTCTTTTGCACAAATAAATTTGAACATGTGTAAAGATATTTCTTTTAATTGACTTTCGACTATTGCTACTCCCTTTTTTTCTGAGGTTTGTGGCTTTGCAATAAAAATGTTAATTGAATTACCTTCATATATAATGTAAAAGCCTTCTGTGTGATTGGATCCATATAATTGTCTATTATACGTTTGTATGAACAAAAGTCATTGCAAACATGATAACTTGACAAGTGTCCATTGAAAGGGAGAACTAAAACCTATTAGCAGTATGAATAAGGTGGCATCATTTTTCCATATCTCTCTTATCACATTTATCTCATCATGTCTCTACAGTATTTGTATACATACAATTTTAAAGCATAACATCTCCTGTAACTTCTGGTTTCATTGGCAAAGCATGCATTTAGAATAGGCAAAGGTTGCAAAAGTCCCCCTAGCTTCTCTTATGGCACCTTACCCACTCATAGAGATCATATTACTTACAATAGTATATTCATTCATTAAAAATTGTGTTTAATCAACTCATACATCTTCTTCCCCCCATAATTACTGCCTCAAGATGATCATGATAGTGAAAAATAACCTCATTAATCAATGCATCCACCTATGGTAAATACACATGGCCATTGTAGTACAACATCTCATTTACCAATGAGAAAGGTGCTTCTATTTAGGCAAAGAAATCACACTAAAACTTGCTGACCAACTTACTTAAATGATGACAAAACTATAACATATATTATGTCACATAATGAATACACAATAAAGTATCTGCCACCATATTCAATTTTACCTAGACTATAATCAGTAAGAAACTCTCCAAACTCCATGAGTTTGACCATCTAGCTAGCTTCCTTAGTGCTCCTTGAGTTTGACCATCTAATAAGCTTGCCTAGTGTTCAACTTCTTTTGTGTGAACAAATACACAAAATGCTTATGATCTGTCAACACTACAAACACCACACTATAAAGATAATGCTTTCACATCCACAAAACATAAACAATTGAGAGCAATTGCTGATCATATGCAGAATATTGCTGCCCAATAGTATTCAAAGTCTGACTCTCATTGAAACAAACAAGGAGCAAACCCTAGGCCAACCTCCCAACCTTTAAAGTGTTCTTGCCTTAAATCCCCTAGGCTATAGGATATTCTTAGAATATTCTTATGATTTGTGTCATTCTCCCCTCCACACTAGCACATTAGCCTCAAGAAGCTAAATGAGCCTTACATGAAGGGAGTCTAAGGCAATATAGCCATGGAGAAAAGATGTGCAAATGACAACACTAATATCATGATAAACAATCATGAAAGAAAGAAAACAATACAGCTTTCTCACATGACAATATAGTCATAGAAACAAAGGAATGAGAATGGAGAAAATAGTTCAAATCATATAGTAAAACAGCTATGAAACTCATCCTTAGAAATCTTATCTAAGTTATAACCAAAACTCAGAACACTCCTTCACATCATCCTTAGTTTCCCATGTAGCTTTATTCCTAGATAGCCATTCCATTAAATCAACAACTCTGGAGTTGTCTTGTAGTGTGTCTTCACCAATCTTTGAGTAAGAATATTAGATAGACCAACCTTCTCAACATCAATTTCTAAGACCTGGATGATGGACTAATACATAATATCACCAAACTACAAACATGCTTTAAGTTTGTTCATATGATAAATGATTTTTCAAACTAGCTTGCAAGTCTAAAGTGTAAGCAAGATCCCATACACACTACAAAATTGTCCAAGTCAAATGTCATTTTAGTCTTAAATATTATACATATATTTAATACATGATAAAAGCCAGAAATCATCACATTCTTCTATACTCATTTCAATATATTTCACCTGTGTACTATCATCTATCACCTATAGTAAAATATCTGTCACATTGCTTTAGAAATAACACCTTCTACTATAAGAATGTAGAATAAGTAAAAGAATTTTATGAATTTATGAATTTAAGATTCTAACATTTTATGATAAGATTTTATGACATGCAAGAAAACACATGATTCTCATTTGTCATTTTGTATTGCCATCAATTTATACATTCCAGATATGTGGCTGTGATATTTCTACATTATGGCACAGTCACATCTTATAACTCACAAGGATTTTGCCATGTCATCAAATCTAGAAAGGAGCATAAATTGTATATTGCTAGGAAATAAATGTAGAAAGAAACAGATGTATAAGATTTACTCTATCCACAATGAATGGCCAGGATGACAGGGTTAGGGTTAGGGCAACTGCCAGTGTTAGGAGACTGGGAGCACCTTAGTGGGATCTGTTGCCATCAAGAATAATGCCACTAAGAGTAAGTATGGTTATGGACCGAGCCGGGTGTGGGTGGGGCTGTTTGCCTTGCCCACCACCACCTCCATCCACACTTAACCACTGCGGACTAGTTGGGGTTCCCTTGTACAACACACTATGCCTCCTCAAAAATGCAAGTTCCACTGCAGATTCTTGTCCAGTATTGGAGTGGAGTCACATGGCATCAACAGCCAGCAGCTGTTGGACATGCCCCAACTCCAGGTTGATCATTAATGACACACACACAAGCTTGTCAATAACTTTGGTGGCAGTCTTAGGCTATGCAATTGCATGCTGCAGAATCATCAGCTGTATCTTGCATGTGCTAGTGACACTACAAATCCTATTCTTTATTAAGTTTGTTTTATGCAGGGAAACAAGAATTGGAGGATCCCGGATTCCATACCTAGATCAGTGGGTGGCACTACTGCCACCTAGGATCATGTCATAGAGAGCATATACCTCCCCCAGATCATCCCTGGATCTGGAGCGCTCAAGGCTCTGATACCATGAAGAGATATGCAGAAGCAAATGATGGTACTCTGATATATCATCACTGTGTATATACACGATCAATAGTCGTGACTCTTACAGTTGGATCAGTGATGTGGCACTACTGCCACCTAGGATCATGTCATAGAGAGTGTAAACCTCAACATCTCTGATACCATGAAAGAAGATGAGCAGAAGCAAAACAATGGTGGATGACTCTCAGTGCCTCCTCAGCACCTCCTGCTTTTCTCTGGAGGAGGAGGAGAAAAGGAATGCTGGCACAGGAGCAAGGAGCACAAGGGAGGTGAGAGGTTGAGCGTGGAGGAGCAATGAGAATAAAGAAATAGTGGAGAGTGGAGCTGTCAACAACAATTATCAAACCTTTTCACAATGTATATTGCAATGGTCTTATGCTTCTTGTTGAGCACCGCCAGGGTCACCGTTGTAAAACAATAGATAGAAAGAAAGAAAATCCTACACCCTGAAGAAGAATTTTGCTCATGTTTTTTAGTCTGCATGTCTTATCTAGCTGTCTATATGCTGTTTTGACAGTCTCGCGGTGCCAATTGTGAAGCAATGAGACTGATGAATGCAGATCTTCATCCGGGCTCCCCTTTCCTAGTGGGTACTGTTTTTAGTTTTTGTTATGAAATTAGGTTAGGGTAGCAATGGCGGACCCCATAGCATTAATTCGCTACTATGCTCGGAAAGGCTACGCAAATCATGTCCTGTCAATCTGCAACATGTATCTCCCCCAAACTCACGACAGGCTGCTACATTTTTGGAAAGTAAGCTAACGTGTTTGCTTTCCTCTTAAATTGGCACCGTTCACAGATCTACGGGATGGCCGTAGCAGGCGTTAAGACCAGAGATATTTTGCTGGAGCTGCGGGTTATAAAGGAGGAACGGGAGCTGCTCATGGCAGCACTCCTGATTGAAATTCATATCTGCGAAGATAAAGAGACTTCTCTAAAGCTTATTTCAAACCTTGAATATGAAGAAGAAGACGCTTCTGACGAAATGCTAATTCAAGCTGCCGTATTTTCTTTGCTGCTTAAGGACTTAGAAAGAGCTAAGCAATATGTTACAAGGTTTAAACCAATTACACGCTTCATCTAGTTTTTATTTTATTTTATTTTCAGGATTTCAAGATCCCAAGATAACATTGAGGCTCAGTGCTTGCATGGATGGATTCTACTTACTATCGCTCAGGTTGATCTAAACGCGGACTTGGTTGGAGCTGCCAGCCAAAATTTTGACAAAGTTCTTGGTGTAAAACACACTTGTCTGGACGCAATGTTAGGAAAAGCGGCTTGTTTTGAATTTATGGAGGAATACACAAGGGCTATGTATGAATTAGATCAGGTATGTACTTTCATGAATACGTCTGGTTCCATGTGCTTAAATGTTCTATGAAGGCGGCTCTGCTATATCCATGGTTTTATCCTGCAACTTGTGAGAAGGCAAGGGTGGGAATGCTGGTACAGGATTGGGATTGTATCTATGAGTCTTCTCAAGAAGTGCTACAGAAGGTAATTTTGCCCCCTGGCAAGCGTCCTGTTGAAGGGAACAGTTTTAATGTGATAGGACCCAGAGAATATTGATGCTCTGCGCCTTCAAACACATTTTCTATTGTGTAAGAATAACAGTACTGTCACATCCATGTACCTACTTGGGAATCTCGTGCGAAATGTTTGCCAGAAAGAACCGAGAAATGCAAGACTTTACATTGAGTGTGAGTTTTGGCGTTAGCTTGTTAATGTGCTCAAACATTGTTATCTTTTATGTTATAGTTGCCCAACCTATTGCCAGACTTGCCGGACGAGGTTCACCAGGTGTACTAAATCATACACTCTCTCTGGTTGAGAAGTCTCAGGTACTTGCTCCAAACAATGGGATATATCTTCTAGAGATGGCAAAGGAGTTTTTTCTTCTAGGAGACTATTCAGCTGCAATCTCACGTTTCAGGTGACCAGTTATCATTCTTGGCATTCTTAATTTTTATCACGAAGACTAGTTTAAGCAGAACATCTGTCTTGCAGGCTTGCGTCCCAAATGGAAGATGTTAAAACTGAAGCGACGAATGGTGTAATTCAATGCTTGCTCATTTTGAAAAATCTTGATGATGCCAGCAAGCTCTTACAATCAGTGGATGGAACATCATCTTTCGTCTTTTACCTCAAAGCTCAGCAGTCGTGGCTTGAGAATCGGCATGAGGCATGTTGGGAGTTTCTTAACGGAGCACTGGAATTGCATTTAAAGGTAATTCAAAAGATAAATATGACTTTGAGTTTTCAAATCAATTTAAACAGTCAACAAGGATCAGGCGAGACTATCAGTTTTATACAGAAATAGATCCTGACATGATTCTTGGAGCAGGACACCTTTACCTGGCATTATTTGCAAAGTGTACTACAAGAAATGGCACTGTTAGCCTTACTAGACAGATTGCAGCACTTGAGCTTCTTTTATCAGCGGCACCTGGTTTCGTGAATGCACATGTTATGCTTGCACGCACTCATATGGAATTGGGGGATTTAGAAGTATCTCAGGAATCTCTTCAAACTGCCCTTTTGCTCGATTCAACTTGTGCCTGCGCTTATATTCTTTTAGCTCAGGTATAAGAAGGTTGCGTTTAAGCCGTTTTGAATATTATTCTTGTAGATTGAACTTGAACGTATGAACATAGATTTGTCGCAATCCTATTTAGAGCAAGCATCAACTGTCGATTCAAGTGTCCGAGAAAGTCTAAAATTTCTTGCTTTGCAAGCTAATCTACATATACTAACTGGAGAATTTGGCCATGCTCTTTCCGTTAAGTACCTTTGTATTTTTACAGCTTTCTATTAACCATGTAATTAATAGGTATTGGAATCTGCTATCATTCTGCCATCTATGAACAGGGACAGTGAAAAACTGGAATACTACTCAACGCAAGGCAAAATGTTAATGGACGAAAGCAGTGCAAATAAAGTGATGCTGTATTTCCTACTTGCTAAGATGCAGATAAAAATGCAAAATTTTGCTGAAGCGGAAAAAACCATTGATGATGCAAGTCGCTTATTTTCAGGTCTACACGAGAAGGTTCGTTTTTTTTAATCGTTTATACTTGGTTTCCTTAATATTTTTTGTTTTAGGCTTTGGTGGAAGTAGCTAGAGCTGTTCTTTTCGTTGCAAAAGGAAAAATTGATTTGGGAATAGAAATACTACACCACATTCCTTGTGATAGCCACTGTCTAATAGAAGCAAGGACAGCAATGGCTCACATATATTTGGAGCATAAAGGTGACAAAATGCGGTTTCTACAGTGCTTCTCGGAGCTGGCTGAGCTTTTCCCAAGTGCCAAGGTCCGGTTTATTCTTGCATAGGTGTTCTACGATCTTCTACAATGCAGATGCATTTGAAGCTAGCTGACGCATTTAATAAAGTTAATGATCCAATTCGAGCAATGAAATCGTTGGAGTCGGCATTGAAGAACAGTCCGAATGATGCATCAATTATCAAAAAGCTTGGGAACGCATTGATAACATGTCATGAGTATCAAAGAGCTAAGGCACTGTACGTGAAATCACTAGGACGCAATCTAAGGGACTCTTGTTATCAATATGTTCAATATGACTTAGCAGGTCTGTCATTAAGATGCGTGTTGGAACGTTCGTCAGTGTTTCGTTGCAGAATTATACTTCATTTTGAAAGATTTTCTCAAAGCAGAACAACTTACAAGAGATGCCATTGCAAAGATGGAACATTCTCCTCCAAGTAAAACATTACTGATGTTTTTATTACTTTCCATGAAGATTCAAAGTTCTCAAGGAAGATATAGTCCTGCATCAGAGGTTTAATGTTATCATATATCATCATTCATTAACTTTAGCTTCACAGGAGATTGTAAAGCTGAAAGCTTTTTTAAGACAGACGGTCACTGCCAAGCGAGGAAGCTACCTGGCAGACTTTTGTTTGGAGTTTGCAAAGGTGACAATACATTGTGTTGTAAAACCTGCGTTAAATATGGGCTGCAGGTTTGCCAAGAAAATAATGACTTGGACTCCGCCATATTGTTTTTAAGCGAAACCCTGAACGATTGTCCTGCTCATACTTCAGCACTTCTGTTGTTGTCCAACATTCACTTAGTAAGGTCTGTAATTTTCAAGTTTTCTTGTTTTTCATACAGTGATTGCCTCAGGGGTGAATTAAGCGAATGTGAGGTTAATTGTGCCAACTTATTGAAAGTGGATATGACGAGCTCAGATGGTGGTAAGCTGTTAATTCTGGTTTTACTACAGAGAGAAATGTATGATGCTGCACTTTCAAGCATGCAGCAACTCCTTCAGAGAGATCCTACTTGCTACATTGTTCTTGAACAAGTATGAAATTTAAAGCCACCTTTTAGAAGTTTAATTTAACCTATCTGTAAATAGATTATTGAGCTTTTGCGAAGACTGGGGCGAGTTGAAGAATCCAGTTATTACATTGTGCAGGCAGAAAAATCGTCCAAACGTGATGTCGATGCGGGGCTTTATTATTGCAAAGGATTTTATGCCCAGCATATGAATGAATCGATGCAAGCTGTTGAAGTATGCTAAAAACCTCTATAGCATCTAAAAGTAGTGGTTTCAAATGTGCAGCTATTCAACTATGCACGTAGTGATGCCAAATGGGGAAAACGTGCTCTACTTGCAATGATTGAAATTTATTCTCATATTGACGATGAATTATTTCATGACGAGGAGAACCTTGAGTTCACGGTTCCATATGTGAAAGTGGAGGACGTTTCTAAAGTTCAACAACTGCTAAGCGAATTCAGGTGAACATTTTCGTGAATCTTTTTTATATATAATTAATTTCTTCTAAGTTAGACAAGAATATGGAACTGTGGTAGCTTGGGAATGCTTCGGTCTAATGTACTCCGGACAAAAGGGAGATGCTGAAGCTGCACTCGTAAAAATTAACAAAGCTGCAGCCAGAGAAAAGGATCACGTCCTTTTAATGCTTTGCCGTGCTGTTGCTTTAATGATACTTAACCAGACTGGGAAAGCAAAAGCTGAACTTCGGAGCATTGACAGATTGACATACAAATGGAATGAAGGGATAAACTTTGAGAGGGCCTGGCTAATGCTTGCTCAGACTTACCTTCAGGTCTACAATATGTTCTCACTTAGTTGTTCTCAATATGTATTTTAGCAGGCTGGTAAGCTGGACGTAGCTGAACAGCTATGTAGGAAATGTATAAGCTATAACAGATCATCATCGAAGGCGTGGGAGTTCCTTGGAGTAGCGATGGAGAGAGGTAACGCATACACTGAAGCTGCAAATTTCTATCAATGTGCGTGGAAACACCAACGAGGGTCTTCCCTCACCGTTGGATACAAACTAGCAAGGGTCTACCTTAAATTGAAGAGGTACATGGACGCGATTGCAATATGTCAAGCTGTAATGCAGCTATTTCCCAACTCTATCAAGATTCGCAGGGATGTCCTGGACAAGGCAAGAAAGTGTATACGATTTTAGCAATAATGGACATATTGTTATAAACCGGTGCGAATCACAAACGACTCCGTTACCGCGATTATATTGCCCTAAATTGTCGGAGTGATGTGGCAGGTGCTAGGTGACAGGAAGCACGAGCCGGACCCTGCCCAGGAACTAATTGGACCTAGAAGAAGCTCTGCCGCTCCCACGTATTCTAGCATTCTGGCTGCTAACATGCTCAACAGAGCCGCCAGTTCTCCCGGTGGTAATAGCACGCCCGTCTCGAGCAGTAGGGCAGCTGGCTACAGTGACAGCAACAAAGCCGGATCAGCCTTGGGCACGGAGGATGCCAGAACCATCAGTGTTGCTAATGCTGCAAGGGCATCAATTTCGGGCTCTCAGCTAGCTTCCATGCAGAAAATTGGGCCACGCCTGCGGGCAGAGGGGCTCATGGCACCGCCTGCATCGGATGCTGCAACCTTGAGGCGGCAAGTGGCAGCATTGCAGTTGGATTTAGAATCTCATGTGGAGGGAGAGAAGCGCTTGCAGGGTCTCAACCAACAACTTCGTGAAAGGTGACGCGGATAAAATTGGATCATATTCCATGACAACGCTGCCATGCAGACTGGAGCTATACATGCAACAGAACCATGAAAACGTGGAGAGAGCAGAAAATGAGCTCAACACGTTGCATGAAGATATGGAGCAGACACTGGATTTGCAACGCAGGCTGGCTCAAAGGTGACATCAATTTCAGCAAATCCAGTACGAAAATTCATATAGAAAATTTCACGGTTTTTAATTTTTTTTGCAGGGCCTCATCTCTTGAAAAAGAAAAGAAAGAGTTAGAGCAAGCGTTAAGGAAATGTTTAGAAGAATTTGACCTTGAAAGATCTTCCCTCCAATCACGCATCACGAGGCTGAATGATGAATTGCGTGAAAAGTCACATTCGCAAGCCAGAGCAAGAGCGATTCAGGTAGGACCTTTCTTTGATCCTCTTGACATTTTCGTCAGCAGGGACTTTGTTGCTCAGGCAGAACTGGAACTTGCTTTAATTACCAAAAAGCAGCTCGAGGAGAAACTTAATACGTCAACTATTGAAACAGATTACCTGACACATAAAGCTGACGAGTATGCCAACGAGCTCCAAAAGTTGATGTTGAAGGTTTCTCTTACATGTTACTGAAAACGTTCAATAACCTGTTCTTACAGAAACATAAGGAGACGCTACTGGATAATTGCTTCCGGAAGAGCTTACTACGAAGGTCTCTACACAATTTCAAGAAGGCTATGCAGAACCAGCGCTTGCTGTCTTATTATGACATAATGGCGAAAGAGTTTGTGAAATACAGATCTTTAAAGAGTGGATTTTCAGCTCTCCGCCTCGCCACAAAGCGAGCTTTGAAGATCAGAGAGGCCCATGACCGACAAGCGAAGGTTTGTGTCTTAACCATTTGTTACCTCTTAAGGTCTTACAGGCAGGAATAGAGGAGTGCTGGAGGTCCTGGCGATTGGCAACAATTTCTCAGAAGAGATTTGAAATATCTGTACGACGTAAAAAGCAGTTGTCTTTGTGTCAAACGGTGAATAGTTGGAGAGCAGTTTTAGGCATGGGAAAGCTTTCGAATGCAGAAGAGCATCAGTTTACAAATGCGGCAAAAAAGCACTGGAGAAGGTTTACATGCCAGCATTACTTAAGGCGGTGGCACTGCTGGATAATAAAGTTGGCAAAACCAAGGAAGATAAAAATGCGGGAATTTCAGATTCACGTCAATAAGCTACTGTGCCAACAGGCTCTATATGCTTGGAAATCAATTGTTCGAGTCAAGCGTATCAAATTGCTGAAAAGCGAGCAAGCAGCAAAAAGTGGCACGTCTAAATGCAAGCAGCGAACAATGTGGAGGTATTCATAATATGCTAAATATTTCAATCAAGTATTTCTTACAGATGGCTCCAATTTTTGAGCGATAAAAAAAATCAGCAGAATTACACGGATAATGCATTTCGCTTTTACAGTAGTCACCAGAAAAAGTTTATACTTAATTGCTGGCACACTTTTGTAGAAATTCAAAGGCAGAAAAGGGTTTCAATGGCCTTTGCATTCAGAACATACCTTCGGGCTCTTGGATTAAAGGTTGAATATCTGTTACAAGTTGCTATGGCTCTTCTAAACCGCTTTGACTTTTAATTATAGGGTCTTAGCGCCTGGAAACGAAGTGTTAAAATACAACAGGTGGAGAAATTGGCCATGCAAGAAATTAACCAAGCGCTGAAGAGAGCATCGATGATATTTTGGCGTGATTACCTTGTGTCTCACGCAATTAAGTATTTATGTTCATAAACATGATATTTTGTGCTCATATTGGATATACAGGAAGAAGAAAGAAATGAAGGCAAGTGTGTGCAGAAAGAGACGAGATAGAAAAGTACGTCTTTTCCGTGCAATCTATGCTAGTGTTAAAGGAGTTTCCTACAGATAGCTAGAGAATTTTTAATTTGCTGGTGGGAAGAAAATGCTTGGAGGAGACGTGCAGGGCAGCTTAGCCAGCTTTTATCATCACGAAGGCACGGAACACTTTTAGCAAATACTTTACACGGATGGATACATGCGACATTTGACAACCTGCTTGTTGCTAATGCGAAGTTTCACATTGAGCTGTCTGATGCTAAGGTTCCTTCTGTTTTCCGTCTTTGCAAGCTGGCTGACGCGTCTAAAATACACTAGGCACAATGTGAGGAGCAAAAACAGCAAACAACCGCTGTTGATGTTGAAAACCTTCAGCTGATTGATCGCCTTCATGCAATGTCTTCAGAAATAGCTTTGTTAAAAATAACTATTGCCGAGAAGGAAAGGCAAGAAGAAGACTTACGACACGCTTTAGAAGATGGTGCTGTTATTGAAGGGTCTCTTCACGGAGATCTCGAACAGCAGAATATGCGAATTGAAGAGCTTGAACTAGACGTTCTAAATTTACAGGTGGGAAACTCATTGATGACAAAGTCAATCTGTCAACATTTTTATGCAGAAGAAACTACAGCTTAAAAATCTAGAAGATACTGCTGACGAAGTGCATTATACCATAGAGATTCAAACCCTTGAAAGGACATTGAAGGACTTTCAAACTCAGCTTTCTGAAAAGACTTCACAACTCCTTTCATATGAAAAAGTAACATCAAATTGGGCTCTTCTCTATTTAATTTTTTCTGGTCCAGGCACTAAAGGATACTGCAGAGAAATTAGAAGGGGCATCGGATGAGTCGCAGGAGAAGCTCACTAGCGCATTTGAAATTGCGGCATCTTTGCGGAGGCTTCTTGAAGACCGTGAAAATCAATATGCGACTCTTGAGGGGAACTGCAGGGTAATACAGTTTTCTCATTACATTGTTGCATACTTTTCCATGTGACTGCCAGAGAAAGGAACTAGAGCTCAATGAAGTTCAAAGAAAGCTGTCTGTTGCGAATTCCAACTTCACAGAAGCCTTGAGAGCACGTGATGGTCGTATTCATCACCTTGAAAGTAGTCTCATGCAAAAGCAAGCTGAGGTTGTTTCTATTTTCTATGGTTGTTTGTGCTAAAAGATCGGGCAGATGCAAGAGGCACAACAAGAATATCAGGAGCTGCAAAGAAAGCTGGACATGGAAGAGGGATCAGTAAGAAGGCTCCAATATGAAATGAAGCTACGATCTGGTATGCGATTTGTTATTAGCAAAGATATTGCTAACTGCGTCACAGATAGAGATTCTCAAAGAACAAAAGCTTTTGTTTCAAGTTTGTCGTCATGGACAGACACTGTGTCAGCTAAAGCCAACCAATGTTCCGGGCCTTTAACACAGATCAACGGTTCTATGAGGAACGTTTACAATGAAGCAAGAGCAGCACTGCAAGCTGATGGTGCTACGTCTGAAAAGCAATCATTGGAACCATGGGATCTTCATGAAAGCTCAAAGCTCTCGAAAGAAACTCTTAATGAAGAAACTAGCTGTGTCCCACAACTTTCTCAAGATAATAGCGAACAAGGGATTTTATATAGACCACTTCTGGATGAGTTAGAATCAAAGGAACAGACAGGTGAAAAGGTTGAGAAACTTCATGAAGAGATTCAGGAATTACAGGCAAGGATCATGAGCAGATTGAAAGATCCTGATCTATCTGAGGTAGAACATAACGTACTCATTATGTAACATAAACTCCTTTCAGGTTGGATCCCCGAGAAGCACCTAGTGATCAAAATCAGAACATTATAAAATGACCAAGTATACTCAAAAGCACTTGATCGGCCTATATAGACATAATGAGAAAAACTCATGGGATGAAGATATTGATAAAGCTTGCAAAAGTTTTACTAGGTTAGTGGTATGGTTCTTTAGAACATGTTTTGGTCTTTATATGACAGGGCATGAGATAAAAGAGAGGATAATAGTGCCTCAAGTAAAGAACTCCCTAAAATGGGGAAGTAAAATTTGCACAACAAAGATGTGCAATAGAAGGTGTTGGAGACACCTAGAAAGTTGATACAAAAAGTTAATATTAATGTTTTAAAAAGCAATATTTATATTGGTATGATTCAAGATTATTCCAAAATGAGTAATAAGATTGAGATAGAGAAGGTTGTAAGCAACCAAAAAGAACGACTTGAGAGACGATCCATGGGGTTCAAATATAGAGGGAAAGGGCCCATGAATAAGAGTGCACCCCCTTTTCTAATCGATTAAGGGTCTTGGGATACTTGGGGTTAAGCATCCTTGGGTTTGAATAGTACTGGGTTGGGTGACCTCCTTGGAAGTCCAAACTCAGGAGCTTACATTTGGTATTAGAGCGGTCTTAGATCCAACTCTGTTGGTTGGCTAAAGGAATCACACCACATGTTGATTGACATCTGGCTGGTCCAGTTTGCTCCCGCTAGGCTCAACCCGAGGGGTAGGGTGTCAAGAGAGTGGGGCTCTCGGGAGAGCTGCGGCTCTTAGCTTCCGTTCACGAGGGCGTGAACTTGCAGGGAAGTGTGGTGGATTGTAAACAACTAAAGAGAATGACTTGAGAGACGATCCATGGGGTTCAAATATAGAGGGAAAGGGCCTATGAATAAGAGTGCACCCCCTTTTTCAATCGGTTAAGGGTCTTGGGATACTTGGGGTTAAGCGTCCTTGGGTTTGAATAGTACTGGGCTGGGTGACCTCCCGGGAAGTCCAAACTCAAGAGCTTACAAAGGTGTCTATAGCAGATTTAGTGAGATCTAAACTAGCAAAGTGACAGAACCAATTGTGAGACACAAAATCCCTAGGCCCCAAAGTGGAGCTGAAAGGGTGCCACGTGGTAGTGGCCAAAGCGAAAGCCAAAAGAGCGTAACACATTTGGACTAAAAGCTCCAACTTGAAAAAGTCAAAAGTGGGAGTGGAACTCCCAACAAAGTGCTTGAGGAACAAGCACGAGGCGAGCCATGAGTGAGTCTCTAGAAAAGGGGACACAAGAGGACCAAAACATGACACGTGGAAGTGTCCGAGATGGGCCCGAGATGAAGTCCGAGATGGAGTCCGAAGTCAAGATCGAGACCAAGACCGAGACTGGGACCGATCTCGGACCTGAGATGGAGTCCGAAGTCGAGACCAAGACCGAGACCGGGACCAGGACCGAGACCAAGCCCAAGCCCGAACCCTAGTTTGAGAGGGTGAAAGCCCAAAGCATTCGTCTCCCAGACCCTGGGGGGTTTGGTGAGCTCCAAAAGTATAGTAAGGGGAGGACTGCAGTGGAGCCAGTTTGGCCAGGAAAGGCCAATTTGGCCCAGAAAGGTGGGCTCCAAAAGTATAGTAAGGGGAGGACTACAGTGGAGCCAGTTTGGCCAGGAAAGGCCAAACCTAGTGTTGGGTGATGAACTGTGGGAAGTCCAAGACTAGAGTGAATATAGACCAACAAGTAGGGTAGCTTGGTGAAGTGTTCAAGAGCCAGCTCTAGTTCCCTCAGGAGATCGACTGGCCAATGCTCCCAGTCCAAGTGTGGGTGGCACTACCTACTTAGATACCTGGTGTGGCTCAACGGAACCTTGCTCTAAGCCCATGGCTGAGCATCATTGGGACACCCAAACACTCTAGAACACCAGAAGGTGGTGTTTAGTGTCGCGAGGGCAATAGATAAGGCCCAAGGGACTAAGTCCCTAGCGAATGATGGATAGGAGATGCCATCTAAACATCCAAGGTTGTGGAGATGAAAGGAATCCGTCTACCCGATTTGGACAAAGCCAAAAATGGGATTTTGGGAAGGCTAGTGATGGGCATATGGAGGCCCATAAGTAGCAACGGTAATCCCGGTGTGTGGGATTATAAGGTGAGCATGCCCAGATTGAGGAACCACTCCCTAAGCTATTGGGTAGGTTCATCTTTATGAATACTTGCTAAGGCATGGTAAAATGTGCAAAGCTATCCTCCTAGTTGTGAGACACAAATCCCTAAGCCCCAAAGTTGAGCTGAAGGGGTGCCACGTGGTAGTGGCCGAAGCGAAAGCCAAACAAGCGTAACATGTTTGGACTAAAAGCTCTGACTTGAAAAGGTTGAGAGTGGGAGTGGAACTCCCAATGAAGGGCTCGAAGAACAAGCACGAGGTGAGCCATGAGTGAGTCTCTAGAAAAGGGGACACAAGAGGACCAAAACATGACACGTGGAAGTGCTCGAGATGGAGTCTGAGATGGACCGAGATGGAGTTTGAGGTGGAGTCCGAGATGGAGTCTGAGGTGGAGTCTGAGGTGGACCCGAGATGGACCCAAGATGGACCCGAGATTGAGTCCAAGATGGACCCGAGATTGAGTCCGAGATGGACCCGAGATTGAGTCCGAGATGGACCCGAGATGGAGTCCGAGATGGAGTCTGAGATGGACCTCAGATGGAGTCCGAGATGGACCTGAGGTGGAGTCCGAGATGGACCCAAGATGGAATCCGAGATGGAGTCCGAGAAGGACCCGAGATGGAGTCCGAAGTCGAGATCAAGACCGGGACTGAGACTAGGTCCGAGACCAAGACCGAGACCGAGGCTGAGGCCGAGACCGAGGCCAAGGCCGAGACCGAGGCCAAGCCCGAGATCGAGTCCGAGTCCGAGTCCGAATCTGAGTCCGAGTCCGAGTTTGAGTCCGAGTTCAAGTCTGAGAGGGTGAAAGCCCAAAGCGTTCATCTCCCAGACCTTGGGGGGTTTGGTGAGCTCCAAAAGTATAGTAAGGGGCTGCAGTGGAGGACTGCAGTGGAGCCAGTTTGGCCAGGAAAGGCCATTTTGGCCCAGGAAGGCTGTACCCAATGTTGGGTGATGAGCTGCCCACTGGGAAGTCTAAGACTAGAGTGAACACGGACCGACAAGCGGGGTAGTTTGGTGAAGTATTCAAGAGCCAGCTCTAGTTCCCCCGGGAGATCAATTGGCTGCTGCTCCCAGTCCAAGTGTGGGTGGCACTACCTACATGGATACCAGGTGTGGCTGAACGGAACCTCGCTCTAAGCCCATGGCTAGAGCACCCAAGGGCAGAACACAGAGAGAGTACCCAGGTGGCTCGCGTAAGGCCATAGTGTTCCGAAATGTTGCCCCAAAGTCCCAAACTGTGGAAAGGAAGAGGAGCAAACCTTTGGCACAATGACTAAGGACATATTCACATGGTGAGGAAGTCCCAGAGGGCATTGGGACTTAGTGGTTGGGCCTGTGGGCCTTGACCCAGTGGCAGTGTTGGTGAACACGGCCATGAGTAGGACGAGACTTTGTTGGGACTGAAAGAGGGGTATTGGGGAAGGCTATTCTCCTTGTCAGTGTGCATCCGAAGGATGCTAAGGAGTGGATCTGTGATGACCACTCATGGATGGTTGACCCAGTCTTGGAGAGGCAGGACTGTGATGCAACTGGTATTGGACCACCAGTGCGGCAAAGGTGATTGGGTATGGCCTTAGCGTAATAAGCTGCTATGTCGGTGGTACCTTTGAGTGTCGGTCATGGGATCGGACACGTGGAGCACTTGGACCAAGTGCAAAGGTGGAGTGGCGGGGATGTCATTCTCAAGGCTAGCAAGCCCAAGTTCGAAATAGGACTTATGGAGGTTGTGAGTGAGACTCCTCCAAGTGGTTAAAGTTCGGGTTAAGTGGCTAAAGTAGAATGGAAAATTTAGTCACTTACACTAGTCTAGAGGAGAATAACCAAAAGAAACATATGGGGCCAAAAGGCAAGTAGTATTGGGAGGAACTGAACCATAGAAATCGAAGGGCATAACCAATGGTGGTTATGCAAGTTGGGAGTGGAGAATCAAGAGGGTGCTCGAAAATGTTGTTACTAGCAACCATGATGTCGTGGAAAGTCTAAAATGTGGAATTATCCATGTTAGACCATGTGGTGAGTAGGGAGCTTGCAAAGGAGAAGCCTTAGGAAGCTAAGGAACAGAGTTCCTTGAAGGTTCTCAAAGACAATTCTGGGTAGATAAGTACTTAGAAAGCCAAGTGTAAATGGTTCCTAGAGTGTGCGAAATCAGAGTGGAACAGCAGAAGCGTGGTTTTGAACTTGGCTATGAGGCGAGGCTATCAAGGTTGTGTAAGCTCCTGAGTTTGGACTTCCCGGGAGGTCACCCAGCCCAGTACTATTCAAACCCAAGGACGCTTAACCCCAAATATCCCAAGACCCTTAACCGATTGGAAAAGGGGGTGCACTCTTGTTTCATGGGCCCTTTCCCTCTATATTTGAACCCCATGGATCGTCTCTCAAGTCGTTCCCTTTGGTTGCTTATAGGTTGGGGAAGTAGTTCCCAAGTGTTCAAAGAGAGGGCTTTGAACGAAAGTTGATGATTAAGGACTTTCATGCTTATGCATGAACCGTGTTACGATGACTGGATGACTTGCTAAGTGAGATTGGCGAGTTAAAGCTCTATTTCGTTAAAGTGGGATTTATTCAGTAAAATGGGACTAGGTACAAATTTTCAAGTATTTGAAAATGACGTGAAATTATATGTTTTTTGTCCAGGGGCTAGACATATCTGGGGCATGGTGACTAGCGCGGTGACTTTGTGTCCAGACTGAGTCCATCTGGTTGTATAATAAATCTCATTGTCAAGGTGAACAAGTCGAATCTGAAGCTAAAGAAGAGCGATGGCATGTGCGCACACACTATTTGTTTGTTCATTGAGCGTGTGGTGAACTTTCCAAGATGAACGTCATTCCTATTAGCCAGACATATAACT